ATGATTCCTAAAGGAATGGGAACATGCAAACCGAATGAGCTTGGGGCAGCTGAAACCTCAATGCGGGAGTAAATGGCTGCAGTTTAAGAGATCCAAGCAGCCCAGGCCGGCAGCTGCTGACAGCAATTCAGATTGGGCAGCACTGAATGAAACAACAGCTCTTGTTCAAATATTAGGAAAGACAAGGGGGAAAAAAAGCTCTTGGAGAAACCAATCCTGCAGTGCTGGATGAGCTGCACAAGCTGACTAATGCGGGGCTCTGTCCCAGGACAGCAGCACCAAACACCTGAGGAAGGTGCGAGGTGTGGACACCTCACCTGCCCCGGGACACTGGAATGGTTCAGGGCAGCACCATCGGTGTAAGAACTGGGTAATCTAAAGTGAAATATCAGAGCTCAACTCCATCCAAGTGAGCAGACAATGCCGTTTGAATGGCCAGCTTCTCAATTTTGTTAATTTAATTTATTGGTCCCAGCAGTGAAGAGGAGCTCAGACCCAAAGTTCAGCGCTGGGCTCACTAAAATTCCAAGTGCTGCCTTTGGGAATGGGTGTTCCCAGCAGCTGGGGCAGGCAGGGAGCAGCTGGAGGTGGCACCGGCCCGTGCAGGGCAATCCAGGGCTGACAGGAGCATTTATTTGCAGGTATTGTGGTTGGCCTGGCCAGCGCTAATAACCATTGCCATTCATAAGCATGAAAGAGTCAAGTATTCCCACCCCCCTGCTGCCATTTGAAAAGTATCTGACCTAATTATTACTATCCCTGTTGTGTAAATTCAGCACTTTGTCAGTCTGAATAAATGTACATTAGCCTTAACATGAGCGAAACAAGTTTAAACAATGAAGGCAGCTTTGTAAAGCTCCCTCGCTTTTTAACTTATTTGACACCACACTAAAGAGCCCATTTAGACTAAAGAGTTCAGCACATTTTGGGACCCATTAAATGCCCAGGTTGAGACTAGATATTCTCCTTTTTCTTTTTTTAATTTGTCCTCCCCAGTTGCCAAAGTCAGCAGAATTGAGCAATAAGCTGCTTTGCATTTCTTTAGCTTTGTAGGCAAGTTGCAGAAAGCTGCACCCATCCCGGCCAGCACAGGGCAAACCTCACTTATCACTGAGACCAAGGCATTCCTTGGAATTAGTTTTAATTAAAAGAAATTGCTCTTAATTAAAAAAAAAAAAAAAAAAGAGGAAACTCATAGCACAAAAATGTGATATTCATGACTGCTAGGAAAACTTAGACTGTCAAATTGTTTCTATTTTAGGCTAACAACATAGAATTTGTGTGGATCAGCTGTGCCTGATCCTCACCTTGTCCCCAGCCCAGAGATCTGAGTGCCACCTGGGACTGGATGGTCCTGGAGCTCTTTTCCAACCATAATAATTCCATAATTCTCTGCAAGGCTGACCTGACTCTAAATTCTATGTTGTTAGCCTAAAATAGAAACAATTTGACAGTCTAAGTTTTCCTAGCAGTCATGAATATCACATTTTTGTGCTATGAGTTTCCTCTTTTTTTTTTTTTTAATTAAGAGCAATTTCTTTTAATTAAAACTAATTCCAAGGACACCCCCGGGGATGGATGGGCACCCCAAATCCCCCCTGGGCAGTTCCAAGGCCTTTCCATGGGGAAATTCCTGCTGATGGAGGAGTGACAAACTCCAAATCTATCCTGACTCCAGCCCCTGTCACATTCAGGACATGACCTGGAACGAGGAGAAAATTTACCCAGACTTGGCTGCAGGACAAATGCAGATCAGCCCCAAGAGAGCAAAAGGGGCTGAAAAACCAGAGCCTCATCACCCTCATCATTCCCCGTTCCCTGCCCTCCTCCATCACTGAGGACATTTCTGAGGGCAGCAGAAAGAAAGAGACAAAAGAAACAAAAGAAACAAGGGGAAAACTGGGTGGAAAAAGCAGCAGAGCTGAACACATCTGCAAGGGGAAGGGGTTTATCCAGCAGTGAGCCCCTGAGTTTTGAGAAAACCTCTCAGAGATCCCACACAAAGGCTGGGCTCTGCTGGATGTGTCACAAAGAGCTGGCAGGGAAACATTTTCAAAAGAGAATTTCATTTTACTCAAAGCCATCATGAAACCGGTTCTTTCCCAAATGAGATCTGTGGTCAGTCTGTAAATTGAATTCTGTCACTGACCTGTACGAGATCCTTGGATCCACAAGAAGTTCAGAGCTTGACAAAGCCACAGCTCTGACGTGGGCAGCAGCTCCTCCCCAGGATCTGGGCTCTGGGATGGATATTCACATTAAAACCCTGGTTTATAGGCAGAGCTGCAGCTGGATTTGGATTCCATCCCTCTTACTCATTTTGAAGCTTGGTTAAGTTTGAAGCACAGAAAAAAACCCAACTCAATTACAATTTCTAGCTGTCAGGAAGGAATTCCATCAGCTCCATCCTCCAGAAGGAAATCCACACTGTCTAGCAGTAATCAGTTCCATTTGTGACCCTCCCAACAAAACCCTTTTTGTCTGTGATTTGTATTCAGCTTAGGACACGCTGATTTCAGCCCCTCTGTGGATTGTAATGTCTAAACAGCCTTTTTATTTTTAAATGAAACCAAGAAACTATTTGGCAGGGTCTGAATCTGAAGCAGAATCTCCCAAGTGCACTGGGGTCTGGGCTCACACAAGGCAGGACACTCACAGACAACTCTGTTTGTTCAGTTCAGCTAAGAATAGGAGATTAGTAAGAAATATTTTAATCTAACAGGCATCATGTTTTGAAGGGAATTTTCAGCTTTTTTGGCCAATTTGAGTGGCATGTGATGATCTCATGGTGTGGCAGCTGGAGAACAAATGAAGCTGCAGCTCTGACCGCCGAGGATGGGCTGGGTGTGGGAACTCCCTCAGGTTTTGGGATTCAGAGGCAGCAATGTGGAAAGGACTGAGGCAGCTCCAGGATGCTGATTCAGGACACAGAACCTTCCCCTGGTGCACACCTGGGCCAGCTTTCACCATCAGAGTGAGAAGGAATTTGCTGCATTTCAATCCCATCCTCAAATTCCACACCAGAACAGCCCCCAGTTACACAACTGGCATTAACTGGATTTTTTTTAAGCTTTTCAGAAGGGAGGCCAAGGTTTGAGCAGCATGGAAGCAAAACTGCCCCATGAATTCCCCGGAACAGCCCCATGGATGCAGTGCTGCCAGAGCCTCATGTGGCACCTCACAAAACACAGATTTCACATTCTGAGGCTTCTGCAGTCTTCAACTTTCACCAGCATTCAAATTCACCTCCATTAAAAGAAAATGAAATTGCCCTCTCCAACAAAGAGCAAACCACAACAAAGCAAACATCCTGCAGCAAACCATTCCCTTGAATCCATTAAAAATTGCCAAGTCAACGCTGCAGTGCCCATCCCGGGCTGCCAACAGCACCAGTGGCACTCTGGGCTCCTGTCTGCCACCAGCTGTGGCAAAAACTGCATCACAGGCCAGAAACATTTCATATTCCAGCCAGATTTCATATCCCACATGCCAGCAATACATCACATTCCTTCCCAGCTGGAGCTCTGTAAAGGCAAGGAAAAGCCCCCACTGCAAACACCTCCATCAATGTTTTAAGGCGGGGATGGGGGAATATTGGACACAGCCCTGGCAGAGAGGCAGAGCTGATGGACCCAGGGGTACAGGAGGAATCAGGCAGGAATTTGTTCTAATAAATGAGAAAATCAGAAGAAAAAGAGTTTCTGTTATGGCCCAGTGGGCAGAAAACCTGGGACCAACAGCTTGGACTCTGCCTGATTTATCACTAACAAAGACAAATAAACTGAATATTATGTTTCTCTGTGTATTTTTAGCAAGGTATTAACTAAATCAAAAGCATTAAGTAATTCCCTTTAGGATTTATAACTGCTGGAAGTAGAAGAAAAGTGCAGTCCTATAAAACAGCAATAGGATTTTAACATGCGTTGTCAAACAGAATTAAACTGCAAATAAAAACCCTACTATGGGACACCTTTAGTGCAGAAATTTCATCATCTGTAAGCAACAAATAATAAAGGATCATAATGAAAAGAATCCAGAGAAAGGAGAACAAAGCTGATCCCCAGCCATGCATACAAAATGTGCCTGAGTGCTTCCTGGAAGCTGCAGCAAACCTCAAACTGTTTGATGTGCTCACATCTCTGGGAAACAAAAAATTCTTATTACCACCATAGAAATTCTACAGCAAACCAATTTTTAATTATACCTATCAAAATAATAATAAAATCCCAGCAGTTTCATTCAAGCTGTTTGAATCATGGAGACCACCTATGCAAATATCAACAGAGCATTTGAATCTCCAGGTAACTACTGCCAATTATACATGGGGACACCTTTAAAATTCTATTACAAGGATAATTAATCATTTTCACACACAAAGGTAACAAGGTAACATCATGCAGTGGTTTTTAAAGCCTCCTACTTTCTGCATTTCTATTCTGGTTAGTTTGTGCCAGGATTAGAAAAGCAGATTTCAATTTTAAAAGAGGGAGAGAGGAAAGTGAAGAAGTTCCAGCCTTCCCTCTGGTCATTCCATGTGGGTATTCTGGGATTCAGACATTAGCAAGGGAATATTCTGCTGCTAGAAACAGGCTACAACAACGTGGACAGGGATGTTGCACAAACATTTTCATGACTGTGCTCTCATCTACTCTGTCAAAAGGTAAATTATTTGAAAAAATCTGCAGAAGCTTTTAGAAATATAGAGTTCTGCTGAGGGCCCAGTTGGCTTGACAAAAAAAAAAAAAAAAGAATGACATTATTTCTATTTTTGCTGTCAGAAAGTTACAGAGGGCTTGAATTCTGTAGTAGCACACTGAAAGCTGTAATTACACAATTATTTTGTGGCACAAATCAACAGAGGAGGAGAGCAGGAACCTCTCCTCTCCTCCTCCTGAGGACACTGTGACTGAGGATAACACCCAACTGGGAGGAGAAAAGGAGAATTTTTGTGCAAAAATTCCAACATTTCAGAATGAAATCTGCTGCTGCAACACGGATTCTCCTTATTCACCAGAAGCTGCAGCTGACACAGGTTCTCCAGCTATGATCAGGTTTATAACCAACTCACAAAGAGGAATTGCAGCACAAAAGTTCTGCACAGGGAGAGCCATGGGAAGGAGGGAAGGAGCCAGGGTGCTCCTTACTGTTTCAGAAATAGTAAGCTGTGTGAGTAACCCAGTTGGAACACTCCTCCTTGGAACGTTTCGCTGAGCTGTGAGTTGTAAAAATAGATTTGTAAGCCTCAGACTTGTCCTCGCTGTCTGCAATGGATCTCTTGGTGCTGCTGGAAGCTTTATTGACTTTTCCTGGGACTGCTGGGGTTCCATTCTCTGAGGGGAAAAAGGAACACAAAGAAGCACGACAGCTTACGATGGACAAAGGTGGTTCAATAAAGATGAAAAACAGTGTTTGAAAATTTAAATATATGCATTTTTCAGCTCTCTCGTAAATATCTCCCATAACTGGATGCAACAGCTTTTAGAATTCACACTCAAAACAGATTTAGAAATCTTGAGAGAGGAATTCTGCAAATCTCTTGCACTGCAATTCAGAACTGACAACACCCATTCCTCCAAGTGAAAAATGCCTGATGAGCTCTGGTGTTTAGCAACAGGAAAGCCCCCACAGCCTGCAGTATTGTTTGGAAATCAGCTCCCAAATGCCAAAAACTGAGCTTGTGCCACACCTTTCCCCAGGGAACCCCTCTGCTCCCTCCATTCTCTGCAAAGTTATGGCCAACAACAATGCTCAGCATCATGAGATGTCTGCAGTGGGGAAATGCCCATCCTCTGCTCCTCAGACCATTTCTCTCAGTGTATTTTATCTCCTGCACCATAAAAATCCTTTTTTTTTTTTACTATTTCATCTCCCAAGTTGCAGGATGGTGTTTGAAAAAGCCAAGTCTCTGGTGAAGAGAAATGAATGCAGAAATTCAACATCCCGAGTCAAAGTAAGGCACAGGGGTTCCCAAGAATTGGGTGTGCAACCCTAAATCCTCACAGAATTAATCCCAAATCCTCACAGAATTGGGTGTGCAACCCTAAATCCTCACAGAATTAATCCCAAATCCTCACAGAATTGGATGTGCAACCCTAAATCCTCACAGAATTGAGTGTGCAACCCCAAAATTGTGTGTGCAACCCCAAATCCTCACAGTATTAGGTGTGCAACCCCAGAATTGTGTGTGTAAACCTAAATCCTCACAGAATTGGGTGTGCAATCCCAACAGAAACAGTTTCAAAAAGCACTTTTTTTCTTTTACACCCTCAGGAAATAAAAAATTCATTAATATTATTAAAATTACGAGGTTGCTCAACATCCAGGGGCAATTCTCATCATCTGGGATGAAATATTTTTAAAAGCCTCTCCCGTATAAAAGCAGACAGTAGAGGGCAGGTCAGGCATTGCTGATGGAATTTCAGCTTCTCCCAGTTTATCTACAGATCATCATTCTCAGATTCTTCCAATTATTCTGATTTTTTAAGATACAATTCTTCCCACAGAAACCTCAGACTTTAAAGATGTACCTATTCTGTTTGAAAATATCAGTCTGGGGACATTAAATAGCAGAATAAATAAATATTGAATAAAGAGAAGGCACCACTCTTTGGATTTAAGGCTTCATCAGTTCATCCCAAAGTTCTATTCCAGTGTTCCCAAGGTCCCACAGCAAATCAGCAGATAAAGCAGAGGATTAGAAGTTAAATAATCAGGGGTTTTTAACAAAATTCATTCAAATAAATTGCATACCATAGATTTTGATCAACTGTACATCAGGAAACTGCAAATTCTCCCCTACTACATCACAGCCAGGCAAACAGACACAGCAAACCCAAGAGTGTGTAAATAAGAATCTCTAATTTCATGAAGTCAAGTTCCCAACTGAAAGCAATATTAGAATGACATAAACAAGCAAATCTGGCCCCATTTTCACATCAGGATTAATCACCAACCTGAACTTTTGGTGAAGATTATCTGCCTGCTTTCCCCAGAGCTGGAATTGACACAATCCTTTCCACTCTTAGCTTTTGACGGGCCTGGAGAATTTAAATAAATAAATAAAAAATTAAAAACCAGAAAAATGAAATCCTGACAGCTTCAGGACTCAGCAGGTGAGACAGAATTTGAGAATATCACCTGCAGAGGGCTCTTGCTGAGATGCTGCTGCTGCTGTCTTGCCTTTCTTTGATTTCTGAAACAACACAAGCAGAAATCTGTAAAGACTGAAAGGAGAAATACTCCCAATTCATATTTGATAGACACACAATTGAATTCACAACATTTTTATTTCTTACCCAGGAGAACTCTTACTTCCACATTTTTTGTATTATTTCTACATGGAAAAAACAATAATCTTGAGAACCCTGCAGTTACATTAAAGAAAACTATGCAGATTGGATTTGTCTGGATTTAATATTTTGGGTTGCATACTTTGAAAGGGGGGGTGTGTTATTCTCATTAACTGATCATCAGAACCCACCCAGCAGCACAATAAATTGCACAACATTAATAAGACACAATTAATTGTAATAAATAAATATGTTTTTCAATAAAAATGTCAGAAGAATCTGGAATCTTGTATCCACTCAATTTTGTTTAGTCCATAAAAAATTCCTCCTGGACACCTGCCAATAACTGAACCCTCTGCTGCAGGATTGCTTGGGAAGAAAAGATGCAAATAGTTACTCTAACTTTTAAAAAAGCATCTGTGCAGCAGATTTTCCAAATTAATTTACGTTTGTACAGATTAAGAAACAGAAAAGAACAAGAAGAATCCCATTACTGGCTTTGATTACATAAAAAGAAAGACGCATTATAACAGGCATTAGCATTATTCTCACTGGACACATTCTGAATTGTGAACATGTTGTAAGACAGCTGCACGAACTCAAAGAAAATAAATATATTGAATTCTGTCCTAAAGCTCAGGAGAGCCCGTGCTGTGAAGCAGAGGAGCAAATGCCACAGCCAATGGTGCTGCAAGGCTGCCCCAGGAGGGGGTGGTGTGGGATCTCAGCACAGCAGCCCTGATGTGCAGAATCACCAAGACAACCCTTGGGGGGCTCGGAGGTCCTGGAATGTTGCCAGAAGTGTCTGGTGGCTGGACTTTGATCCTTCACGGGAAACAACACCTGTATGAGGATGGGAGGATCCCACGGGGATAAATGGTGAAGGGATGGGTTAATTATAGTGCGAAACACAGGGTTTAGAATTTCGGTACAGGGGGGTCTAGAGAAACAAGATGGAGGAATTAGGGCGTGTCCTGGCCTTCTTCTTCTTCTTCTTGGCCTCCATCTCCTGTGGTGGTGGTGGCACTTTGGGATTGGTTCTTACTAAAAGTGCACTTGTCAATAAGGGTGAAAAGCATTGGGGAAAATAGGTAAATATCTTACACGTAGTTTTGGGTATAAAGATAAGTGACCGCCCCGAGGGCTCTCAGTGTGCTCATGGCTGACGTGCTGTGCTCTGTCGGGCCGAGAGAAAATATTGTAGATAAAAATTAACAAACACTGAAGACCGAGAAAAAACCTGAAGACTCTTTTCGCCCTTTGGAGCGCGGGCTGTCCCAAGGCCATCCCGAGCCTTTCCAGGCCATCAGAAACAGCCGAGCACGGGACAAGGTGGCAGAGGATCAGGGCTGTGCTGGGGCAGCTCCAGGAATGCTTTGGGTGGGCAGGACCCTAAAGCTCATCCCAGAAACCTTCCCCAGACAGACCAGTCCTGTCCATTGGGCCCTTCAGGCTCCTGGAGAACCCCAGTGACATGTCACAGACATCTTTTCATGAAAAAGCCTTTCTTTAGGAAAGGATTTGTTCCTGAGAGGCCTCGGGAACAAAATGTGAACAATGGTTATCTGCTGCTGTGGAATGCAACAGGTGCATCTGGGATTGGTCTTATGCGGTTGTTTCTAATTTATGGCCAATCACAGTCAGCTGGCTCAGACAGAGAGCGAGCCACAAACCTTTGTTATCATTCTTGCTAATTCTATTCTTAGCTTGGCCAGCCTTCTGATGAAACCTTTTCTGCTATTCCTTTAGTATAGTTTTAATGTAATATATATAATAAAATAATAAATCAGCCTTCTGAAACATGGAGTCAGATCCTTGTCTCTTCCCTCATCCAAGAACCCCTGTGAACACGGTCACAGTGCAGGGGATTCCCACCTTTTCTAGGGGTGGATTCCCAAAGCAAAGTCATTTCCCAGATGTTTATAACTCCATGGATGCATAAATTCACCATGCAGAACATAGACTGGAGAGGTTTCAATATGGGCACAGTGACAGCTGAGCTCGAATCATTTTTATCCTGGTCCCAGCAGCATCTTCCTGAGGCTTTGTGTCATGGGGATAAAGAAAAGGAGTTTGTGCTTCCTGCCCCAAACAGGGAAGGGAAGGGAAGGGAAGGGAAGGGAAGGGAAGGGAAGGGAAGGGAAGGGAAGGGAAGGGAAGGGAAGGGAAGGGAAGGGATCTGGATAGCAGCACCAGGACAGTGGGAATTGTGCTGCCACTGGCACTGGGGCTCCCAGGCCTCAGAAGTGCAGGGACAGCAGAGCTGGTTCCAGCTGCAGGGACCAGCTGGGGCACCAAGGTCACCACCTGAGGTTGGGAGATTTGCAAATCCCATCCTGTAATTCTCCACCAACCGAACAAATCCCATTTGCATGTTCCTCCAGGGCACACAGAGCCCCAGGAGCAGGGCACGGTGTCCTTTTGTGCTGTCACCCTAAAGCCACAGCTGCCCTGCACACTCAGGCACTTTGCTGGGCAGAAATTGTGGGCAGCATCACCTCCCAGATTATTCAATATTATTTGCTCCAAAGCTACAGGTGCTTTTTAGGGCCCTGTTTCTAAAGAAAACCAATGCAACCAACCACTCACTCATCTGCTGAGATCTGCAACAGTCTAGCAGCAAATTATAAATGGATTTTTTACCCCAAACTTTGAACTACCAAGTACGGAGGGAAAAAAAAGAAAAAACCCTCTGAACAGACACCATGAGATTATCACTTTTATGCCAGAAGTCATCAGACATGAGATGCAGAGACTGTGAAAAACAGGAAGCAGAGCAGCAGGACTTTTATGGAAAAGCATCCTTTTGATGTATTGCCCAGGCCCAGAGATGCTGCACTGGCACAGATGAATAAAGCCCCTGTGATGAGGAGGAATCATATGCTCCCCAGCAAGTAAACAAGCATTTGTTTGAAAACAAACCAGGGAAATATTTGCATGGCAAAATCAAGGATGAAACCTCCATCTCAAGTCTCAGAGGTTGAAAGCATCAGATTTATGATTTATGATTTATGATTTATGTTCCTGAGATCCAGCTAAGCCTGAGCACCCTGAACTGAGTCAGCACCAAAGGTTGGCTTGCTCTGGCATCCTCCAGGAGTTCAGGGAAAACAGCAGTGCTGACAAACCCCCAAATGCAGAAGTGCCATCTGACAGCTCAGCAGCACAGAACAGCTCCCAGCTCCCAGGGCAGAGCTGAGGGATTTCATTTCCACTGCATTTTACCTGGGCAGACACCAAAATGCAAAGGCCTCAACAGCACGGTGGCAATTAGGGCAGCAGTGATTGCTGAGGACTGGGAGAACCACAAAACATCCTCAATTTCTACACCCTTACAGCACCAGCCCAGGAATGCACAGACCCCAACATCCTGGTTCTGACAGAGGCCAATAAAAACCATCTTATTTTATAAGATCAAAAAACTGATGCTGTCATCAGGAACTGCCACAAGAAATACGGGGATGATGTAGCTCATTACTAGAATGAATTCATTTCAAGAAAACCACAAAATATCGTTCCATTTTACCCATTCTGAGTGCACAAGGCACTTCCTGCTGGTCAGGAGAGAGTTTAGGATGTACAACTACAAGATGTTATTGGCCAAACACAAACAAAAAACCCCACAGCTTTTCAAAGTAGTGTTTAAATACAGCACAGCTCATGGAGTAAATTCCTCCATCTTTATAAAGATCAGCAAATCTAAGAGCAGATCCATTGCAGACAAGAATTATTTCCATTTTACAATAAATTATAATTATATAATAAATACAATTATATAAAAAGATAGAAATCTAATTAGATAATAAATAATAATAAATAATGTATAAAAATCTCACCTTTTCCAATTTACTTTTAAGTCTTCTTTCCTCCATCCTTTTCTTCAGAATTTCCACATCCTCTTTATTACCATTAAGGACAATCACATCTTCCTCTTGAAAGGGAACACCACACTTCATGAAAGAAAAGAAAGGACAAAATTGCATATTTCTTTTTCTGTCTCCTATAAACAACACTCTGAACTAATTATTTTATGTGTGTATTTTCTTTTCATGGTTTCCTTGTTTTACTGGCACAAACAAACTTGAAAGTATTCCTAATTAGAATCTACTCAATTTACTGAATCCCACAGCTAAAACCCAAAAGTACTTTCTGATTTTTAGTTATGAATGCATCTGATTAAGAGCCGGATGCCATTCTGCTCTTGAATTTGTCTTTCACCTTCGATAAGAAATAATAACTGATGGGAGCAAAGGTGTTATTCCTCCACATGTGGAACAGCCAGCAATTTTTCTCTTCAACTGGTAAACAGAAAAACATGAAGGGTTTTTTTATTTGGGTTTCTTTGGTTGTTTGATTTAATTTTACTGTGGGAATAAAAAGGAGTCATAAAAGCAGAATAATTCATTACCCTTGCCTGGCTGCCTCACTGGATTGTATCACAGAGACCATACCCTTATCTGATTTATCAAACACTCCCAAGTTTCCAACTTCTTTCATAAATTAATCTGGATAATGGCTGTAATGTGCTCTGTGTACCTCCACATGTTTCATGGTTGAAGGCACAAATGTTTTCCTGTGCACATTTGCAATAATTTGATGTACCAGCCCATTGACCATGACGTTTTCTTGTCTAAGATCTCAACTTGCCTTTTTTTTTGTTTATTTGTTTTTGTTCTGGGTTTTTTTGTGGTTGGTTTTTTGGGGTTGTTTGTTTGTTTTTGGGTTTTTGGTTTTTGCTTGCTTGCTTGGTTGGTTTTGGGTTTTGTTTTTTTGTTATCTTGTTAAATGCTTTCTATTAATCTGCAAGATTAATTTATAATCCTACCTCTGCCATTAATCTCCTTTTTCTAAATGAAGGTTTAGAAAGGTTACTCCTGTATTTGCAGGAGGAATTAAACAAATGAGAGGACATATGGGCAGGACTTTGCTCAAGTGCTGAGCACAGCTTCAAAAATGAACCTGAGACTGAGAGGAGAACCAGGGTTAGAGAGAGGCACAGCAGGCAGGAAGAGGAAAAGTCACACCCAGGAAATGGGGGAGTAGCTCACATTTCTCCATTTCTACTCATGGAGAAATCCCAGCCTGGGGTGATCTCACACTTGGGAGTGAGAAGAAAAAAAATCAAGAATTTCAGTCCAAAATCAAGAAATTGATTGTCAAAATTGAAAGTCAAATCAAGAATTGAAGAAATTCAAAGTCAAAATCAAGAATTTCAGTCTTCACTCTGTGACAGAAGCTGGCAGCTGACTTGGCTCTAAAGAAGCTCCACAAATTCCTTTACAGAAACCCCACAATTTCTTTTCTGGGGTGGTTTCCTGACACAGCATTTTTCAAACATTTTGTCAGCAGACTAATTCCATTAAATGTCGCATTTTTAAAAGAGCAAGCAAATTCAGGTTCCCTTCTGGAAAACACAGGCTGAATTGTTCAAAACTGAAAAGTATTTACAAGAAACAAGGAAATGAGGACAGTGTTCTTTCCATTCCCTGAAAAAAAAAAAAAATTTGCCATGACAACATTGGATTATGTCAGAGACCATACCCTTCTAAACATCTTAATGAGATAAAAAGCAGAAAGAAGTTTCAGTTCTGCAAATTCAGATGTTTCTTCCTTCAGATTAATTAAGGTCTTGGGGCAGATGTTTCTTTTATGATATCACAGGGTCTCCTCTGCTGTGCCTTGTTTATCCTGGGCCTTTAAATATATATGAAGGCACTTGCTGAGTTTTTAGCAGCTTGAATAGTGGACATTCCTAAATTACATTAAAGTATAAAATACAAGATTTTTAAAGTACTAATGAACTCTTAATTTAAGATGACTTTCCGAATTCTAGAGTTTACAGTTTCAGCTGCCTAAAAAAAGAGTTGTACATTATTTCCTGCTGTAAACTACACGGACACATTTATTTTTTTTTATGGCATCTAAAATGTAGTTCTGTGCATGACTACTCCAGTCTTAATGTAACACAAATAAACAACAGGCAGATATGTTTTCATGTCTAAGTATTTACACCAGTGTTACTGCCTGGCGTCTTCAGAGAAACCTAAAGGCTCTTTCCCACATTTTAACAGTGAATTCCTGCAGTTCTCCTGAACATGATCATTACCAGGAAATGCAAAATTCCCACCAGGATATGGGACATGGATGGCCACAACCTGAGTGTCCCTCTTCAAACAGGGACATTGATCATCTCATTGTTCATCTCCCAGCCACACAAGCTCATGTATTAAAAATTATTCTTGCTTGCCACATTTAACTAAAACTTGTTTTAAGAAAGAGAATTTTCCAGAGGTTTAGCCATTAAATGTTCAGGAGTGTAAGATTTGCTGAACATGTTTTTTTTTTTTTAAATGTCACCTAAGCCAGACATGCAATGGGTCAGGGAGCAAAGGACAAGTTGGGAGCAGTGGAAATTTCCCACCTAGTCATTCACAGAATGTGAACTTCCACTCAGGAGCTGCAGCATTTGCTCCCAAACCAGCTCAAAAAAAAGCCTCAATTTACAGAGTTTCTCTTCAAATCACTGATAATTTTGTACCTGTCATACCTTCAGCTGCGCCTGAACTTCGAGGTTATCTCTGTTTATTTCAGACCAACATGCTATTTTTATCAGAATGTTTCCTCCCAATCCCAGCACATTTAACCTCAACTTTCCACTTATTAAAGAACCTTTAAAAGGCTGTAACAGCAAACAGTGTGTGTGTGAAGGTTCAAAGGAATCTGCTCCACAGCAGAGCATTGCACAGCAAACCTTTCTGCACCAGAGAGCACATAGGGTTAACACCTCCTGCTGCATTTCTGCCTGGAGTACATTTCACACAAACTTTTGTAATTTTACAATTCTGGGGTCTGCCCTTGTTTGTTTGCTAATCTAAAAATTAGAGTTTGAAGGGCTGGTATCTTACAGAACTTGTGGTTTCTTTATCTGAGTGTTCCAAACACGTCACACGGTTCCACCACACATATTTATCACACACACCTCCCTTTACTGCTACAACGCTTACATTCTGTTTATAGCTGTGATTTATAATTATGGTTTTTTATTAACCTTCTGTTTCCTATCCATTACCAATCTGTTTTTCTAGCCTTTTGTATCAGCTCTTCTCATTTTCCTGGCCCAGCAGGGCTGCTCCTTTGCTGACAGAAGCGTTCAGCCACAGCAGTCACACCTAAACCTCCTCCTTATTTCCTGACCCACCAGGGCCAGACCCTGCTCTGCAAAAGTGCCAGCAGTTCCAGTCAAACCCTTTTTGTCTTATCTCAGAGCTTGATCCCCGTTTTGCAGAGGCTGTTACATTTATAAGAGGCACTCACACTGAATTCTTTCGCTGACTTAACACTTTAATTCTTTCTAACTCCCGCTAAGCCGCTTCTCCCAGGAGAGGTCTGTGCTTCCAGGAGATATTTCTCTTTTCAAGAGACATCCTTTTCAAGGAGATTTATTCTCTTTTCAGCTGCCAGTCCCCTGCGAATGCCGGGCAGCAGAACCGGAAAGTTTCGGCAGGCGAACAGTTAAGGCCAGGGGGAGGAGGAGGAGGAGGAGGAAGAGGAGGCGGCAGCGGCAGCGGCAGCTCCCAGGGCTGCAGCCGCAGCTCGGGGGGCTCAGGTGGGATCAGGGGGCACACACGGCGTTGTTCCTGCTCCTGGGTGATATTCCCAGCCCCTGGGTGATATTCCCAGCCCTTGGGTGATATCCCCTTCTCCTGGGTGATATTCCCAGCCCCTGGGTTAATATTCCCAGCCCGGTTCCGGCTGTTCTGCAGCGTTCCCGGACAGCACTGCGGGATGGAGCGCTCCGTTAATGGTTAACGGCGCCGCCAGCCCTGCTGAAGGACAATGAGCCCCAAAATCATCTTTTTTATTATTATAATTATTATTATGCTGCCGTCTCCTGGACCAGGTAAGGCTGCATCTCTTTCTTCTTGCTTTTTCCTTATGTAAAGTGGTCATTTTACTGAGAAAACGCTACGCTAAGCTTTACACTTCCTTTCCTTCTTTACGAAGGATGGAGGTCATTAGTGCTAATTGTATTCTAAAAATCACAGTATTTATGCAACTTATCATTTTACAGTTCTAGAACTTAAGGGTTTAAGTAGCTTGCATTGTTTTTGTTTTAAATTACTGTGAGGTCAAATACACAAGGGGAAAAAACGTAACAGGAAAAGAGGAAAAATAGCAAAGACAAACACTAAAACTTCATAAATTGGCTGTATATGCAAATTACGCAGTTTTTTAAAATAATTATTTAAATAACTGGGTTTGATGGAGAACTGTTTTTACTCAATGCATCTCAAAGTCCAGAAGCAGACTCCATGTTCTGACCCCCTTTTAAACAAAAAACAAAGCAGTGGGAAAAGCGTTTAAAAGAACTGATTTTAACATTTTTAAAAGGATTGAATTAGTCTTCTCTTGTTTATAAAATGTCTACATTAATACCTGTGTAAATACCTTTCAAACAAAAAAAAAAATCAGCTGTAAAAAAGTTGAAATAAGTATTTAATGCAGTATTTAATGCTTTTTCAGCATTTCATTAGAAGATGAAGCATTCCCAAGTCATTTGTATCAATAAATTACAAGGTCATACGAAGCAAACTTGATCTAAACTTTAACATTAGGCAAAAGCAAAGAGCACAGAGAAACCAGAATGATTTGAGGTGCAGTGATGCAGTCCTAAATGCAATGGCAAAAAGCAAAAGGAGTTGATACCACAAAAGGCACAGTGTGTGCTAATGGGGTCTCCATTTCACAGCCTTTTCCAGGCATCATCATCATTCCCCTTTCCTCTAGAGTTTACTTTGTTAATTGAGATGGAGTATCTTAGGCTTACAGCAATTTTCTGTAAAGCCATGTCCTTAAAAGCATCCACAAAGGTGCTTGGAAATCTCTGCTGTTTTTTCTGTTATTCCAAGAATGTCACACACTACTTGCAGGAGTTTTAAAAATTCATACA